TCCTTGCAATTTTTATTGCTTAATTTGGAAAGCATTTATTTTGTTCTTTATAGGAGGAAATAGCATGGTTACATTAAAAGTGTATGCCCCTTATGCAAGACACAATAAGACTTGGGCACAGAAGGAAAATTCAGTACGTCTGATTAGTTTTGTCAGAAAATAAGAAAACTATTCACCCGAACTGAATTACGTCCGCGCTTTGGTTTTGTTCGTCTGAATTTTGTTTGTATATTTACTTTGCAAAAAAAATTCAGCCAGCCACTTTTATTTTTAACCCCTTAAGGACACATGACATGTGTGACATGTCATGATTCCCTTTTATTCCAGAAGTTTGGTCCTTAAGGGGTTTATACCAGACAGTGAATGGTTGGTTGAAAATGGGAGCTGCTTGGAGATCCACAACACTTCCCCCTATCCGTGAGTGTGAAAGAAACAGCAAAAGTTTATGGCGATCAATATGATCCCATATTGGGATGAAAATGGATTAAAACCTTCCTTGTGCCCTTACGCACCATGCCTCAGGTAGAGGCATGCCTACAAAGCAGCAAGCAACCTCTGTCATAAAAGACTAGTGACTAGGTAGCTATTGCCTCAAACAAAAAAATATAATAAAGTGGGGTACTAATTACTATTATGTGGGGTGAATATTAACCCAGGGTGACCTATTGCCCCGGACCTACACTTGTAGGCGCAGGGTAGGGGCTGATAATATTTATCATAGCTCCCCAAGTTACTAGCCATCCCTCCAATAAAAATGACCTGCCTGCCCATTAATAATGGGAAGAAAGAAGACATCTGGTGGAAAATCAACTTGTTTTTCTTAGGAGATTAGTTTATTGGCCACATCCCTCGCTATTAGGGTGAGGGGAAAGTCGGGTATTTTTTTTTTTTTTTTTCATAGAAAGGAAGGTGGCTGGGGCTGGGCCTGGCATTAGAGACAGTGCTGCTTCAGCTGTAGTGATTATAGTTCTTGAAGTGTTCCTTTTAATTCTTTTCTCAATGTGTAAGCCATTTTGTGACTTTGGTTTCATTTAACATTAGATAACCAACACATTTCAGATATCTTTTAAGATATTTTGTTGGTTACAACAAAATATCTTAAAAAAAGGAAGAATTGTTGGTTCACCAAAAATATTTAAAACAATACCAAAAAACCTGACAAATAGTTTTGTAAACTAACTGAAAAATTTATATTTTACCCACAAGTATTGTTTCCTTTTTTCTTTAAGATAGCTTGAAATAAACACATAAATAGTACAATTTATTTCTACATTTATATTTTACAGCTCATATGTAATTGTGAATTGGTGCCAGTTTAGATACATTGATTACACTATTTACAAGCTTGGTTGAAATCTATTTATGCACACATTTTGTTTACCCTGACATAAGATCTTGGTTTCATATTCTTGGATTTGCAATTTAGCAAACAAAATGTTCAGTGGTGTCAGTATGTCAAAAGAGAAATAAATCTCCACTCAAAACCAATATTACTTTGTTAGTAAGAAAACCATATGTCCTTAAATTTGGTTGTGAAATAATTAATCTGTTCTAGCCTGATAAGGAACATGCCAAGTACTATAATGAGTATGACTTGTTTTCAAACTGTTTGACTTATCACCTTTGGTCCACCTGACTCCACTAACTTATCTTAGCTCTCATTGGCTAAGAGCAATCAGCTGGTGCTATCAACTAATGAACCAAATCCTGCACTATAGAGCCTAGCCTAAGAAAGCTAATGGGAGTTCCTGCTTAGCCCCTACAGCTACATGAAGAAGCTAATTCTGAAACGTACAGTGCGATACAAATAGACTCATGTGCAATCTGTACAGGAAAGCATATTGGCTGTGAGATGGTCTTCTTCCATAATTAATATATATTTTGGTGATGTGTTGACATGCAGTTGCTCTTATCATTGTTTTTGGAAGTGAATGTTCTGCGATTTATAATCTACTGGAACAAACAGACCTTATGGGGCACATTTACAGAAACACGTTTTCAAAACTCTGTCCGGGAAAGGTTCCAAGGAATATTCCTTCTACTCTGTATTCCTAACTTTTACTAGATTTTCTGTGGTAATGTACTTATTTTCTTTGTACTTGAAGAACAGCATGTTTGTTACTGTTAGAGTACTTATTTTTAACTGTTGGTTTGTTAAGTGGCTTTTGGCACCTGAATGGTTATTTGCAATGCATTTTTAGTTACTGAAGGTTATCAGGAGTGACAAGAACGTTAGCTGGAAATGTTTGGACTAGATTTAACAGTATGAGTGACTTTTCATGTTTTTAGCTTGGTAGCAATTTGACTAGTTCATTTCCATTTACTTACACAATACTATGTGTCAGGTTAAGCTTCATGGTAAAACAGCTACAGGGCATGGGAGAGAACTTCACTTTTGTAAGTAAATAGGAAAGCAATATAGCTATGCCAGCCAGGCAGTATAGTAGTTGACATAGCTAGGCAGACTGAGAACAGGATCAGCATTAGTAATAGTGCCACTGGGTATGACATTATGAGAAGAGAGCTATTAGACAGAATTCATAAAACATGAATAATAAACTTAAACAGAGGCTCATGCCATGGCAGTAGGAGCCAGAGCACTATGAGGAGTGCAGAGGTAGGTGTCATCTGTGTGTTCATCCTATTCCGCATGTGGGCCACACATCTGATCTGATCTGTGATATTATTCAGTTGGAGGGCTTGCCCTTCTTTTTATACACAGCATAACAGAATCATCAGTGGACATATCTTCTGGAATATTTCTCAGTGTGGGGATATCCCCTCTCCAAAGGAGCCTTGCAAACCCAGAGCCAGGGGTGATAGGGCTCTGGTATATGTGAGGTTTTTTAACCTCAGATTTCCCTCAGATTTTTCTTCACTCTATATTATTATATATTCAGATGGTCTGCACTAGTATTTGTTTGTTTTTATATTTACAGATTAATTTAGCGCGCTTTTTTTTGTAATTATTGTCTTTCTTTACACATTTTTTGAGCGCTGCCATACTATCTGTATTAGATTCTATAGCACTCACACATTGGTTTTTTTGCACATCAAACAGTCCAGCTCCCGGTTAGGTGGGCCAGGGCATGAATGCAAATCATCGCCAGTATCGCTAGGCTTCCCCACCAGCACAATATAGTGCAGATTCTAAAGTAGAACATGGTGAGACATTCAATCCAGCTGGTTGTCCCCTTAACTATCGCTGAAGGCCTTTAAGGGGGCTAGTGCCCCATGTCCATAGATTCTCATTCTCCAGGAGGCAAAATCTTGAGCCCGCAGGGTCCCTGAAACTTGATTGCCTCTGTGGGTTTATTGAAGGCTGCCTTGGTGTCTCTCCAGGCGGGCCTGAAGCTCAGGCAGTGGGTTTTGTCGCTGGAGTAGTGAGTGCCCAATGAGCCCCCCAACCTAGGAAATGTACAGCGGGTAGTGTTGGTGTGATGCAGTGAGTCCGCTAGTGTGGCTGGGATACGAGGGTTGCTCTTGATGCGGTGCCAGAACGCCTGACAGATCACTTCAAATCTTGCCTTAAATTGCTCCCTCCACTCTTGGTCTCCAGGGCCTGTTCAGTAATGTGAAATAATGAAAAAGTGGAAAACACCCAGAATACGTGTAGGTTACTATATAAAATATACAACAACCTGATGGAAAGTGAAATCCGTATGAATTCTGTATAAAAATCAGAAATTTAACATAGCGTGATACAGTTAAGTAATTCAACTTTATGAATAAAAATGATTATAGATGCACTCACAAACGCGCGTGAAATAGAGCTTCTCGCCCACCCAGGGGCAGTATGTAATCCGATGGATGAATTAGAGAATTACCTCATAGGATATATAAAAATAAAGAAAAAAACAGAATAGTGAAGTTTGTTATAAAAAGTACAAAATCACATTTATTGGTCACACTTACATGTGTGTAAATCACAAAGAGCGTATCTCTCAATAACTTGGAACTCCATGCAATGTTGTCATCAATCCAGGAATAGGGATGAACAGGAGTAGTTATAAATGAGTAGCCAAAAATACAAATAAAACAATTAAAACAATATAAAATAAGTCCAATATAGACATCCAACGCGTTTCGTCCTGTAGGGTGTAGGACTTCATCAGGGATACTTCTATACTTCCATTTCTCCGGTTTTTATACCGGTAGAAATCTCCTCTTGATTGCGTTCTTCTGTTGATCGGCGTGCGTTCCATCCGTGGAACGCACAAAGACGCAAGGTTATGACGAAAAATTGAAGAGACAGTTCCGTATTTCTATTGCGCATGCGTGCGAGAAGCGCGCATGCGCACATGGCAAAAGATCGAAACCTAGACAAAATATAAAACGAAAGACCAAAAAACAGCCTGAGACATCTGAACACAGGAACAAAGCATAGGGGGCTGCATTGGAGGGTGTGGGCATAAAATACACATATATATCTAAATTGCAAAAATGAATATATAAATAAAATAAATAAAAATATAAATAAAAATAAATATAAATGTAGGTATAAATATAAAATGAATTAAATAAAAATAGGAATAAAAGATATATAAATAAATAAAAATATATATATATATATAAATAAAAATAGAAATAAAAATAAAAAAGAAAAAAATATTAAAGAAAAAAAATCTATATGTGCATATAAATATACATCCTACAATGCAACCCATTGAATACAAATCAAATGACACATCCATATAATAGAGCATAGATACAGACCACATTATCCCAAAGTCTATAAAGAAATGAGAGGAAGGACAAGCATATAAATTGCACATATGTGGAATGTATATGAACATATACATATACATGCATATATATACATAGACAAATATACCATTAAATAAGACCCTGAAGGTCTATCTCTTGATTGAGTCCTTGGTGTAAAGTACTAAGATTAAAGATCCACAGAGCTTCTTTTCTAATTAATTCTTGATTTTTGTCTCCTCCTCTCCAACCCATCTGAACTGAGTCAATGCCAAAAGCTTGGAAAGAATTCCAGCTAAAAGAAGGACAAGAGTTACAGTGCCTAGGGACACTGTGATCTGATTTATTTCTCTTTATATTATTAGATAAATAAAATAATATAAAGAGAAATAAATCAGATCACAGTGTCCCTAGGCACTGTAACTCTTGTCCTTCTTTTAGCTGGAATTCTTTCCAAGCTTTTGGCATTGACTCAGTTCAGATGGGTTGGAGAGGAGGAGACAAAAATCAAGAATTAATTAGAAAAGAAGCTCTGTGGATCTTTAATCTTAGTACTTTACACCAAGGACTCAATCAAGAGATAGACCTTCAGGGTCTTATTTAATGGTATATTTGTCTATGTATATATATGCATGTATATGTATATGTTCATATACATTCCACATATGTGCAATTTATATGCTTGTCCTTCCTCTCATTTCTTTATAGACTTTGGGTTAATGTGGTCTGTATCTATGCTCTATTATATGGATGTGTCATTTGATTTGTATTCAATGGGTTGCATTGTAGGATGTATATTTATATGCACATATAGATTTTTTTTCTTTAATATTTTTTTCTTTTTTATTTTTATTTCTATTTTTATTTATATATATATTTTTATTTATTTATATATCTTTTATTCCTATTTTTATTTAATTCATTTTATATTTATACCTACATTTATATTTATTTTTATTTATATTTTTATTTATTTTATTTATATATTCATTTTTTCAATTTAGATATATATGTGTATTTTATGCCCACACCCTCCAATGCAGCCCCCTATGCTTTGTTCCTGTGTTCAGATGTCTCAGGCTGTTTTTTGGTCTTTCGTTTTATATTTTGTCTAGGTTTCGATCTTTTGCCATGTGCGCATGCGCGCTTCTCGCACGCATGCGCAATAGAAATACGGAACTGTCTCTTCAATTTTTCGTCATATCCTTGCGTCTTTGTGCGTTCCACGGATGGAACGCACGCCGATCAACAGAAGAACGCAATCAAGAGGAGATTTCTACCGGTATAAAAACCGGAGAAATGGAAGTATAGAAGTATCCCTGATGAAGTCCCACACCTTACAGGACGAAACGCGTTGGATTTCTATATTGGACTTATTTTATATTGTTTTAATTGTTTTATTTGTATTTTTGGCTACTCATTTATAACTACTCCTGTTCATCCCTATTCCTGGATTGATGACAACATTGCATGGAGTTCCAAGTTATTGAGAGATACGCTCTTTGTGATTTACACACATGTAAGTGTGACCAATAAATGTGATTTTGTACTTTTTATAACAAACTTCACTATTCTGTTTTTTCCTTTATTTTTATATATCCTATGAGGTAATTCTCTAATTCATCCATCGGATTACATACTGCCCCTGGGTGGGCGAGAAGCTCTATTTCACGCGCGTTTGTGAGTGCATCTATAATCATTTTTATTCATAAAGTTGAATTACTTAACTGTATCACGCTATGTTAAATTTCTGATTTTTATACAGAATTCATACGGATTTCACTTTCCATCAGGTTGTTGTATATTTTATATAGTAACCTACACGTATTCTGGGTGTTTTCCACTTTTTCATTATTTCACATTGTTTCTTGGGTGTCTGTGAGGTACACCTAGGAATTCTTCCAGTTATACGTTTTATTTTGTAGTGTATATACTATTTCCTGTTCAGTAATGTCTGTTTGGACGCACGATGGCCATCTTGGCTCCACCACGTGGTTGTTGATGCCATTAAGCTTTGCTCTCTGTCATTAGAGACCATCGTGCTGCCCCAGTGGCGACCGGGATATCCCCCACCGGTCCAAGTAGGGGGTAACAGGGCTACCACGAGCAATGTTGGCTCTGGCGATCGGCCGCTTCTCCCAGCCGCCGGGCCAGGACTCTCAGTAGGCTGCAGAGTCGGGCATGATGGAGGTTGTGCAAAGCACAGTGATTTGGGCGTCTGTCAAATTTAGCTTGTTCAGATGTCGGTCTGCTGCTATCCCTGGGCTTCATTTAGGAAGATTTTGGGCTGCAATAGCTTAAATTAGGCCCAAGCTAGCGAGGACCTATCTTGGGTGTCAGGTCCCACCCCCCCTTTAAGTAAATCTTTTTTTAAAAAGAATTCACAAAGCCTCTAGTTGGAAACTTTGGCTTTTTATTAATTTGTTGCAAATGTTCTACATTTAAAGGAGCACTCAAAGGACCATAAACACTATATTGGTTATGGTGCCAGCAATTCCACCATGAGATTTTATAATAATTCTGTGACGGAGCTCCCTGTATCCCGACTGGGTACCATCGCCAAGTCCACTTCATAGCTGCTTGCAGGGAACCTGGAACACTTCTGCCCCAGTCGCCACAGCTTGACTGGGGTCCTTCTGAAGCTCTTCCACACGACCAGGCTGCAGCTCTCCTTCCAGGCAGGGATCTTCCCTTCAGCCTATTCCTCTGCAGCTTTCCTTCCAGGCAGGTATCAACCCCTCTGCCTATTCCTCTGGAGCTCTGCTTACAGTGATGGTAGCCTTTACAAAGATAACTGCAGCTCTCAGGCCTAGCTCTTTTGATTCATCCCAGGGCTAGAATGATCCTGCAACCAGGTCTGAATACACTGTCACTGGGATCCCTACAAATCCACACAGGACACAAGTTTAAAAAGAAACTGACATGTAAAACATTTTTTCTTGGGACTAGCCTATATGTTCATTACATACCGATAACTGTGACTAACATAGTAAAATTCAAATAACCAAAATATACAGGACATTATAATAGCATAATAACATTTTATAAAGGGATGGGGAAGACCATAATTAACAGAAAATATCTCTCCTGTCTGCGGAATTAGCAATGTGCAAATCTACCTGAATATGCAATTGAGCAAGCCTTGCTATTGAGGTAGTGCATATAGCTGATGCTAGATCCTTGCAACCAACAGGTTGCGCTGTACACGCTCCACAACCAAATCCACCAAGTTGATTGCAAGTATTAGCAAGTAGCCACATTACACACACACCCTGCACCCACAATGGACACAGGGTGACTTAAACATAGGAATAGCCCAGGGCCCTACATAAAATGTCCGTATGAAACCAGATGTGATGGTGACTACCGTCACAAATTCCACCGTGGGAGTGGCCAGCAACTGGTGGACCAACAATAAGTTGGTAAAAAGACACTATAGATATTCTTCAGGCAGTAGTTCACAGCAGAATGATGACCAAGTAGAAAATATTCAATGATAAAAATAGCCAATAGTGCTCTCTGAGGTAATAGTTATGGCCATGCCATCACTATAGCAACTCATTGTAGTGGTTATGCTGCTTGGGGTATTTATTTTATGGGACACTCTACTTCATCCTAATAAAGTGGTCTTGGGGTGTAGATGCTGTGCCTGCACCCTGGATGTCATTGATGACCGTTTGTGTAGTAAGTGAAAGGATCACTATAGTGTTACAAATGTGTATTCATAGTTCCTCTCTCTATGAGACTGATTGAATAGCAATGTATTTTTTTTCTTTAAGCTATAAAAAGACAAACATATGTAATATATTTCAAATATTCATCAGTAAGATGTTCCAATATATATTTTTAAGGAATCATACAGCAAATAATATTTATAACTAACATAAAACATACATTTGGACGGATTCTGGACTAGTCTGAAGGGACAATAAAAGTAAAAAGAAAAAGATGTTTTCATCATTATATAGTCAGAAAATGATTGTCCATTTGTAGTTAATTAGGTGGAAGGGTATTATAGGTTGCCTTCAGGGTGGGGTATTTCATGAGGTTAAGTTAATTCACCAGGTAATAAGTTCTGTAATATTGAATGTTTTTTACCCTGGTATTTTTGCATTAATGCCTCTCATGGGTGAATGAGTGACGGCTACTAGAGATATTAAAACCTTGCAATGATAATATTGCTATTCTGCAGAACAGCAGTGTTCTCACTTGCAGAATTAAAATGGGGGTGGGGGTGAAGTGGTCTATAGTGTCCATTTAACAGAGCCATTACACCTGGTTAACATAGAGGGATACTCCAGACCCCTAAAGTACTGTAGCTTGCTGAAAAGTTTTATGTGTAAAGAGTGTGTCCTGTAAAATGGAAGGGGGGAAAAAAAGTGCAGATTTCAATAGAAATTGGCACTTTTGTAAATTAACCTGGTTACACCAACCTGGCTCTCAAGCAGATACATAGAATGTGACGGCACATAAGAACCATTCGGCCGATCTAGTCTGCCCAATTTTCTAAATACTTTCATTAGTCCCTAGCCTTATCTTATAGTTAGGATAGCCTTATGCCTATCCCACGCATGCTTAAACTCCTTTACTGTGTTAACCTCTACCACTTCAGCTGGAAGGCTATTCCATGCATCCACTACCCTCACAGTAAAGTAATACTTCCTGATATTATTTTTAAACCTTTGTCCCTCTAATTTAAGACTATGTCCTCTTGTTGTGGTAGTTTTTCTTCTTTTAAATATAGTCTCCTCCTTTACTGTGTTGATTCCCTTTATATATTTAAATGTTTCTATCATATCCCCCCTGTCTCGTCTTTCCTCCAAGCTATACATGTTAAGATCCTTTAACCTTTCCTGGTAAGTTTTATCCCGCAATCCATGAACCAGTTTAGTAGCCCTTCTCTGAACCCTCTCTAAGGTATCAATATCCTTCTGAAGATATGGTCTCCAGTACTGTGTACAATACTCCAAGTGAGGTCTCACCAGTGTTCTGTACAATGGCATGAGCACTTCCCTCTTTCTACTGCTAATACCTCTCCCTATACAACCAAGCATTCTGCTAGCATTTCCTGCTGATCTATTACATTGTCTGCCCACCTTTAAGTCATCAGAAATAATCACCCCTAAATCCCTTTCCTCAATTGTTGAGGTTAGAACTCTATCAAATATTCTGTACTCTGCCCTTGGGTTTTTACGTCCAAGATGCATTATCTTGCACTTATCCACATTAAATGTCAGTTGCCACAATTCTGACCATTTTTCTAGTTTACCTAAATCATTTGCCATTTGGCTTATCCCTCCTGGAACATCAAACCTGTTACATATCTTAGTATCATCAGCAAAAAGACATACCTTACCATCAAGACTTTCTGCAATATCACTAATAAAAATATTAAAGAGAATGGGTCCAAGTACAGATCCCTGAGGTACTCCACTGGTGAC